CAGGCAATAAGTCCAGCAGCTATCTCAATCAATCGTCAGCTATAGAAAGATCTGGTTCCAAAGGCCGGATCCCTTGTGAATCAAGTCACGAAAAGTTCAAGAATCGGCAACAGGCCATGGGCCTATTTCTTCAACGCCGACACTTGTGACTTCTATTCTATTCTAACACGCCATACACATACGATCAATTATTCGCCACGTGCGAGTGTTCACTTATTCGCCACGTTCATATATATATAAGATCGGCTATTCGCCTCCTGCCCGATCAATTATTTGTCACCTATTGCCACATATAAACGGACACGTATAACGATCATTTATCCGTCACTCAGGAACGACCGCAAAAAGCACCGGAAAAAACTGGTAACCCAGTCTGCTTTTCTTACAAGTTTAACTTTGATTACACGGGTCTGAAAAAATCTGAAATTGGTTTTTATTTCTGAAAGGGTGACTTTGGGTCAAGATAACTTCAATTAATGCCTTCAAAATTGCCTTGAAAGGGCATTAATTTGAATTGAACTCTCATTTTACCTTTAATTAAATGTCTATAGATCACTTCTCACCACTATTTCGATGAATTTTTTCATAATTTTTAACGACGTCAACATTTTAAGCTTTCCGTTTCCATGTTATGCGATTTATAAAGCGTGGAAGTGTACATCCAACTGATCTAAGTGTTATATACGGGTATAATACATATATATAATACCTACATACATGATACATATAATACATTGGGGGTTTCAAATTAACGAATTTAGCAAGACAACTTTGATACTGGTGACATTTTACCTGCTATTTTTGGTTTAGAACAATAAACTGATAAAATATGAGCCATTAAAAAATAGGCCTATACTGGCTATAGCCTATGTTTATAAATCAAATTTTTAAGACAAAACTTCTAAAAAATCCAGTGTCTCCAATGTAAAAAATGTACAATGAGCTTCTAATTTTAATTTCGAATATTTAAAAAAACCTGATTATTAATTTCGAATATTTAAATCTTACCTGATTATTTTAATTCATAGAAGAAATTAAATTTTCAAAATATTTATTCTGTCAATTGATTCATGCCTTGTCTCCGACTTTGAGCAAGTCTGCAAAATTTCAGATAGATTGGACGGGAGCGCAGCGCCGCAGCCGTGGGTAACAAAATTGACTTGTAAACAGGCCCAGGGCCTAACGCCAACCATCAGCATGCAATATCTACACAGTACACAATACACATAGCCTCAGAGGCTCAGATCAATGAGCTGTGGGTAACTCTGGCTAACAGTAAATCCGCTGTGCACAACACGGCCACTGCTTCACAGCGCCGGAGCGCAACAGGCCCTACCGCAACAGGCGGCGCAGGTTAGGTTAGGTTAAGTTACGTTAGGAGTAGCTGTTGCAGTAGGGCCTGCTGTGCTCCGGCCAGTTGGGCTCCGGCTGTGTGATGCTGGATCATCTGCTGGCAAAGCCACGTTGATGATTGATGATCAGGTCATGTCTATAAGTGGTCCATGATCCTCCTTAAAAGTTAAAATGGTCTCCATAATCTGACATGTGTGATATGTCAGGCCCACTGGCCTATAGTTCCCTGCAACCCTGGTTGCATGCAACTCCCCATCTTGAAAATTTAGGTCAGTGTTGACATCTTCCATTCCTCTTGTACATGCCCATAATGCCATAACAGCAATGAGCAAATAAGATATTAATCAAGTAGGCCAGTGGCCAGTGCCACCAGAGTTGCTAGAATATCTGCTGCGCTGCTTGAGCTAGAATCAGTGAATTAAGCTCATTGGGGCCTGCTTCTTTGCTGATAGATATTAAGGTTTGCCAAGCATTTTCTGACTTTTTGGGGCAATTTCAAAACAGGGCCTCAAGAAAGATGCACTCATGTGTGTCAAGGCTTGAAAGTCAAGCACAGGCCCATCTTCATCAGCAGTAATAACACTCTGGAAATATTTATTCAGCATTTTTTACTTTTTCTTATCATTTTTTGTTCTGAAGCCATGATAGATTTATGTATTTTTTTGTGATGGAATCATGATACGTAAGAGAAATGAGATTAAATTATATAATTTAATTTTCAATTAACTTGAATAGAGGGTTACTTGAAAACAAATATCTGGTTCACTCTATAGTTTACACTTTACAGCATAAGTTGTATCAGAAGTTCAGAACTATTTGTCGCATGATGGTTAAATGTCTCCTGTATGTTCAATTCTCATTACTCCAGTCATGAATCCTGTGGACCAGTTCAAGACTTGTTATGATAGCAGGATAGAGATTTGACCCCATTTAGGTCATTTATAAGAAAAGTTAAAGAATAGAGGCTGCATTTTTTCTTTTGAATTAGTAACTGCCTTGGAAAGCTTGGACTTGGTTACTTGGAAATGTACATGAAAAATACTAAGTTTTAATTCAATATCTAATCCACTAATTGAGGTTTTCTGATGTCTATTGTATAAAAAAGTAATTGCGGATCTCAGAATGCTGATGCCTGTGAAATAATGCTTGACAAGTTTGTCTCAAGTTCTCAACATTCAATTTGTGTTTAGTTTAGTTCTTTTTTGAAAGTTTGTTATAAATATGATTAAAACTTAGGTATCCATTAGTTAGATATAGTTGAGATGTATTAATGACTGTTGATTTTTTTCAGATCAATCTTTTATTCCTTTTCTTAACTTGCCATTTTGTGGCATTTATTGCTTGAAAATTTTGTCTGCAAAGTAGGCAACTATGCATATAAGAAGGTATAGGAAACCTTTTGACTTAACACTTGAACAGAGTTGCCTTGCAACATTTGAGGCAATTTTGAAACAGTCTTTAGATAAATATTTTTCCAATGAAGATTTTTCTTCTGTAGAAAGTTACATTAAAAGAGTAATTCCATCTCCTTGTTATAAGTTCATCAAGGAGATACTACATTTTGAGGTGAGCTGCATGCCTCCATCAACTTTCCCAAGTTTATTGCTCAGTAACGGATATTTCATGTATAGGTATACGTATACATCAATGAAACCCTGCTAAAAATAGTCAAGACTGATAGATAGTTCATTAATTCTTCAGTTTCCCATAATTCTCCATGTTTCACTCACCATTCTTGAAGTTTGATTATAAGTATGTTTGTAATAGAGGTATTTACGGATGAACAATGAATATAAATAGATTTGAATATTTGTAATCTTATTTTCTTATTTGGTTTTTAAGCCATATTTTTTCTACATTTTACTTATTTGGAATGATAAATTCACAATCTCATTTCCACAAATGTTTCTGCATTACAATAAAGTTACAATTCACAAACTCTTTGAATTAAACTGCATCAAATCCTACTCCAATTCATTGTATTTCAGCACCAACCTTCAAGCAGTGGTGGAGGAGTCACAGCTTCACAGTACTATATCTACAACAGGACCTGCCTTGCCAACCTTTTTGGAGAAGAATCAACAGATATTGTTTATAACCACCTAAATGCCAAGTCTCTTGATTCTCTGGACTTCAGTAACTACAAAAAAGTTGTTATGTATGTAGAACCAAGCTACTTTGATCATAAAGAAGAATACAGACTAGAGCCTGTGTTGCATTATATGACCAACAATGTGTGCACAATGATTAACATGATTAACTTAGAGATGGTCCCTTGTGATGATGAGGTGCTAAAGATCATCAGCAAAACTTGTCATCACTTGGAAGTGTTGTGTGTGGTGAACAACTCGTGCACTTCAGCTGGTCTCATAAGTCTGAGCGGCTTCAACCCTAATGAAGTACAAAAATACAGCCAAGTGAAAGGACTTACTCACCAGTCAAAAACCGTGTGCAAAAAACTCAAATACCTGAAACTTCCTCTAATGTCTTGGGACAATTCGGAAGCTGCTGCAATTGTCCTCACTACTTTCTCAAACCTGGACGAGTTCGATATGGTGGTTGATTCTTATGCCATAGCCATAGCATTCCTCATCATCTATGGCCATAATGAAGAACGATATGATAGCATCACAAGTTTTCTGAATCTGGTAAGCAAATATTTTTTGTTGTTTGAGCTCATATATTAAAATATTTAATTTTTGTATTGATGATCCAAACACAGAATTTAAATATCCGAATATTTACAAACTGACGGTCTCTTCAATACCCTAGATCAATCCGCTGTGGCTGTTATTTCAGTTCCTGTTTGCATGGCGTAAACTTGTTTTCAATTTTCGTGCAGAAATGGTTCGAGTGCATGGTGGTGTTGTCGCCACGAGAGCTGGGCCTCATAGTGAAGGCCTGTCCACTACTTGAAAGCGTTTCTCTCGTCTTCTCGAACTCTGCTCGTCTTGACCGAGATATTCTTGCTGAACTTTTACCAATCAAGAAATTAGATGAGTTAAATATTTGCAAAGCTGATCTTGGCGCTTTCAAATGGTTCATAAGTAAGAAAGGTAAGACTATTACTGATCTCACGTATAATTTTGAGCTCAGGGATACTATCATCTCATTCTTGAGCTTCATTGCGGAACATTGTCCTAAACTCAGCAAACTTCATCTCAAAGGAGAGCTCATGACATCGGAATTCGACAACGACAATAGAGGAGACCTCAATCGTGTCTCGCCGTACTGCTCTCTGCCCTTGAAAACGTTGATGTTGCATGTCGACATCACCAATCTAGTCATGCCTAACTTTGTAAATGATCTAATGTGGTTATTAACACCTCCTCAGCTGGAAAATGTCAGCTTTAAACCGTGGTATACGCATGTTCTCAGTGACAATGCTGTCGACAAGCTATTAAAAAGTCCATTTTTTAAACGCGCCAAAAAGTTTTGGCACAATGGCCTCATCACCGGCATGGCCAATACACTCAAACTTCTTGAAGCTGCTCCGTTGCTGGAGAAAACTAATATTTGCTGCAAGGACGTAGAATGCTTGATGCTTGAAACGCGCCTGCCGATTGTATCGAATAACTGGATCATTGATAACTAACCGTGGTGCTCATTTTACTGCTATTTCGAGATTTTAGAATTTATTATTATACCATGAGGATATTAAGGTATTTTAAGTGAACTTGTATTAGATAGGTTAACTCGGATGTGCCTTAACTTAATTTTGCTTCCATTAAGTACTTTCTTAAATCGTACAGTGGAACTGTTGAATTTTTTACCTACATAATTCTCTCTCTTTCGCCGCACTTTAGTGTTATTAATGCAATTCATCTTAAAAAACAAATAGAAGCAAAAGTCATCTATCTAGTGTTCTAGCTACATGTTCAATATCCGCGTTGGCGCTGAGGGTTGGTGGCTTAGTAAGTCGTGACTGCGTGGCATGAACTTCTTGATGTCGCGAGCAACTTGCCCGCTACGCGAGGTCAATTGTTGCCTTCTCTTAACAATGTTCTGTTAGTTTAAAATTAGTTCATGAAGTAATTGAAAGTCACATTGGTTGGTCAATTCATTGTATTTATGGACATGATGTTTATAACTTAGCACCTACACTTGGCTGATATATGGCTGATTGGAAGAATATTTTATAAGAGAATACCATTGATGTTTGTCACTGAATGTTTCGATAAGCATTACAGCTCTAAATTATTTGAGTGTTACTGAGCCCTGACCTGACTGAGGATGATGTAAGAGGCGCCTGAGAACTACGATTTATCTATAGACGTTTTTCAAATATTTGTACGACGGTTATAGATGCACATATTCGTATATATTTTTCTTATAAAATATGATATAAACACACTCGATCGGTTATTTTGTGCCTGCAATACGTTTTATTGTATAAAACTACTCTTACTGAACGTATATGATTATTTAGCTTGAATGGTTTTAAAGCGAACGCGAGTATGTACATCCCCTGCCATAAATCATAAATAATGTTTAAATTTCTGCTACTATTCGCTTAAAGCCTTAAACACTGGTTCATTTCATTGAAACCTTAATATGGTAATTATCGTCAACGTCTGAGAAAGTTAGTTTCATCTCGCGAGGAGCTCATCGCATCTTATGCACGGGCTCTTAAATTCCTGTCACTTTTTATTTGTGCTAACACTTCTATTTACCTAAAATGAACTGATAATTAATTATCTCGGTCATTGATAATCATACGCTCAATATATTTAGTTACGCGTACGGTCTAATTTTCGGTGAGGATAAACGTTTGTCTGAAGGGCAAATACTCTGTCCTAAACATTTAAAAAATTTATATATTAAAAAAATTGAAAAATTAATTTTTTTAATATTCAAAAATTAAATGAGAAATTCATTGTACATCTGTAAGATTGGAGATACTGGATTCTTTGGAAGTGTTGTCTTTAAAAAGTAATTTTTAAACGTTTATTATTATTTGTGCTAACACTTCTATTCACCTAAAATGAAGTGATAATTAATTATCTCGGTCATTGGTAATCATACGCTCAATATATTTAGTTACGCGTACGGTCTAATTTTCGGTGATGATAAACGTTTGTCTGAAGGGCAAATACTCTGTCCTAAACATTAACATTGAACTCGAAATTATAGCCTTAGGGATTAGGCAAGAAAATACATCTTATTCATTGGTGTAAGAATGAATATCTAAACTTCAGTTACGTAAGCAATATTTTTATAGGTATAGGTAGATTTGGCAGCTTCGTGACCGCCAGGTAACACAGCTAAGTGTTTGTAGCCAAGCAACGCTAATCACCCAAGACTTTAGTTAATATTGGCACGTCGACGTTTATGAACGTAACGTGTTAGCTTCTTCCCAAAGAACTATAAGCAGTCCCAAATGTTGCAATACACTTAATCCACTGGATGAGTTTTATTTTTCCTGCTGATATCGATTACTCGTTGATAAGCTTGCCTTCCAGCATTGCTGATTTGAGACATCTAAGCGTTCTGGCGTGACTCTAGCATGACGTATGCTGGCAGCGTCAGTCATGCTTGTCGTCAGCGCCAGCCTCCTGACGACTGGAGGAATAAGTATTGACTGCCGAACTTGCAGCGCTTGTGCAACCAAATCTAATAGCTCTCTGGGACCTTACGGACTAGTGTATTCTGCTGAGATTATTCACTCATGAAACTCAACGCGGTCATCACAGAGATTGTTACGATGCACAAATTTGCTTAAAACGAAAGCGGGTATTTGCCCCGATCGTTTGATAGGCAACTGCTGATATTTTCACCATATTTGAGACAAGTCGCTACAAAAAAATTTCCCCGCAGAACATATATTTTCACGATCTAAATGAACATAACTAAATTTGGTCATGAAAATCAATTTGTTAAATCGATTTAAAATCAATTTACAAATTGATTTCAATCAATTTACAAATTGATTTCAATCAATTTACGAGTTGATGAACGGCAGGCGAGGGCTGGTCAGCAGGGCATCGCTTGATGCCGACAGGCTGCACGGTTACCGAACTACAGAACTCAGACGCAAAGACGGGCAACTTGATCTACCGTCTTGGTGTAGTTATCATGGTTGATTAATACTTGGTTGTAGGATTTGTTAAGAAGAGGATCACCTATTAGGATTACTCCTGGAACACAATTCTCCCGGGACTGTAGTATTTCTCGCTCATTCACATGTTCCCAGGTCAATCCCTCTATCTCCTCAATTATAATCATTACCGGATTCTGAAAACTTCTCATTATAATTAGAAAGCCTAGGCAATATTCGAGTTGCATTTACCGTTCGTTTCAAATGCTTTTTCGTAAACTCTTTAGGATACACACGTCTCCAGGCAACGGAAGATTTGGCAAAGAATCGATCATGAATCGATGCTTTGATATCTGATCGTTTCAGGCACGAAACAAATTGTATTTTAGTGACGACTAAAATCCATGTAATGGGACTATACCGCTTACAAAACGAAGGGTTCATCTAACGTATCAATTCCAGCGGCACTCGGAGACCCGCGATCGAGTTGCTGCATTATAAAATTTGCCCGAACCAATCTACTGCAATCGATGAGCTTGCCGACGGGATAACTGTACAGTGATTCTACTAAATAATTCTATCCCAGGACTAGAGGTATGGCTTAATTAGCTCCCGCGTACATCAAAGCACGGGCACTCAACAGCCGGATTAGTTTCGAATATTTTTGTTTTGCGCGCATATTTCTGAAACGAGAAATTCTTCGATTTTTCGGGAAATTGAAGTACACTTCTCTACCCGGATGACGTAATGTTACTCTAAATTCACGACCACGAATACTATCACTATTGTACACAACGAACATTTACCACACATAGCATTTCTTCTCAGGATTCATTCTGCTACCGACCGGGCAGTTATAGGCCCGTGCAAAGTCATATGAATTAGAGAGAGGCCCTAGGACTCGGATGGGTCCCAGCGAGTGTACCGACACCAGCATCTTAATTTTGGTCTCCTCTGGCCGCATGGAGCCGCACCAGATCTGCGCGTAGTTGAGGAAGAAGAGCTGGTCGTGCGTGAGGTCGATGCCTGGTAGCAAGTTCTCCTCACCGTTGCGGTCCACCCAGTGACGGTAGGCCTGGACGAGTTGCAGTTAATTTCACAGTAATTAATAGTAATTTCATAGTATAATATTATAATATAATATAATAGTTAATAGTAAATAAGCTAGATTGTAGAGTTCATATTGCACTGTCAACAGTCGATGAAGTATTCATCATTCAAACAGTTTACCACACATTTTTATATTTTCATGCGTTACACTATCTTCAAACTCAACGAACTAAAGATATGATGCTGATATCAGTGAGATCGGCCATGGAAAATAATATACCAAGACGAAACAAAGCGAAAAATTGGGTGCCAACAAGATTTCAGTTCAATTTAACTATTGAAATCAAGTAAGAAACACTAAAACTTATTCATTATCATGACAGAACTAAATTCTTGAGCTGTTCTCACCCTGTATGCCTGTTTAATGCCGCCGTTGTCGGCGATGTTCTCGCCCTGCGTGATGCGACCGTCCGAGAACTTGTTCACCTGATCCACCTTGTACTTCGAGTACTGGTCGATGATGCACTGTGCCCGCTCCCTGTTAGACTCGTTTTAGTCACTCATGTCTAGCCTTTATATTATTAAGTTTTATACTTTGTTATAAGTCAATGGCATGTTGTTGTGATTAGAACAGAAAATTGCATGTCCGTTACTGAAGATTGACACGTGAAGTGAAATCGATTAGTTCAATTCGGTTATTCATGACCGGGGATTTGGTAATGGACCAAGTTGAAATGTCATATTTTCTTCAAATTTCTATGATCAGCTGCACGTAAGTAAAACGAGTGTAAATATTCAGCTAACAGAAACAGAGCATTCATCCAACAGAGACAAAGACTAAAATCATCGCAGAGTCAGAGACGAAAGTATTTTTTGTATGACTCAAATTTATAATAAAAGTCCAGTGTGCTTCTAAATTTATCTATATTTTATACTTAGCAAGCACGTACCACATGACCACTGATATAGATGCAAGTCAACCCACAAACACAGCCACGATTTTTTTCGCGTTAATATATGGTACATCAAAAGTTCAGGATAAAATCAGCATGAACCAACTGGGATGTCACTCATATTGAAATTGCAGTACCAGAACCCACCTGAAGGCCTTGATGGTGCGGTTGTTCCACCACTGCTTCAGGTTGCCGTTCTTGTCGAACTGTCGGCCTTTGTCGTCAAAGCCGTGCGTCATCTCGTGACCAATCACGACCCCTATGCCGCCGTAGTTCAAAGATTTTGGGAAATGCTGCGAGTAGAACAAAGGCTGCAGGATCCCAGCCGGGAAAACTGGGGAGAAAACCATGAGATTGAGAGATATAGAAGGAAGCTTTCTTTCTGCGTTCTAAATACCAATACCGCGACTGAAATACAGTGTATACATCCGCATTCCAATCGTATACAAATTGAAATGAGAAGGTGCAGATTACAACGGGATTTGTGCTATAATAGGTGGCATGATCTGTAAAATAATGAGAAGTGTAATGAATGTTCCCGCTTTAAATTTTCAAATATGTGCAATACGTACTGAAAATCTAAACTCAGAAAGTTCGCGGAAAGATTGCCTGTGGCGTGCAACGCTGGTTGGAGATTTCTTGTCCGCCAAACTTCTGATGCCGTGACGTCCGAAAATTAACAATTTATAACCGAAAATTGAACTACCCGACTACTTATCTATAGATGGCCGATGGTCTGCTAAAGATTACCAAAGCGTTCGCCAATGATAAAACAGAGACAGTTACAATCGCAACGATATTTCTGATCTCCTCAGTTAGGACAACGATACATAGACTGTACGTCAAAGAAGCCTGAATAAAAACCTGCAGACAAGTCCCACAAGCTTGTTTGAGAGGTCCAAATGAGATCTATTAATCATCTAAGCCAAGGTCAATAAGATTTCAAGCGTGTTGACTCATAGCATTTAGGTCTGTTATATTGTTAAGGTCGTCCTAACTGTTCGATTCGCATGAGATACGATCATTGATATATCGTCTCAGCCATACGATCAGTGACATCATCTCAGCCACACGATCAATGACATATCGTCTCAGACATACGATCAATGACATATCGTCTCAGCCATACGATCAATGGCATATCGTCTCAGCCAAACGATCAGTGACACATCATCTCAGCCACACGATCAATGACACATCATCTCAGCCACACGATCAATGACACATCGTCTCAGCCATACGATCAATGACATATCATCTCAGCCATCCGATCAATGACATATCATCTCAGCCATCCATCCGATCAATGACACATCATCTCAGCCATACGATCAATGACATATCATCTCAGCCATCCGATCATTGACATCTTGTATCAGCCACACGTTGACCACAAAATAAAGACGTTACTTAAGAAGCAGATGCTCTATTCATTTGAAAATTTTTAGATGAAATATTTCTATTTTATTGACCGCCCTTACCAATATCGTTAAAGTTAGGGTTATAGAAGGCATTAAGGACGGCGGGCGCTGTCGACCACTTGGACTTATTAACCTCCTGTCGAAGTCGCCCCAGGTTTTTGTTTGCCTTAAACTCCATGAAGCGGAAGATATTGCCCAAATAATCGTCCTCCACAATCGTCAGCTGCAGGGAAAGAGATTCATGTCAACAGTAAAGAAAGAAGGAAAATCAGGCGCACAGAAAGTAGAAAAATTAAAAATATTCATTGCTGAACACGAATTCGCCGTTACTTTGCTGATAACGAAAAGCCGTAAAATAGAATTGAATTTAGTATAAAAAACTTTTAATTTGCACTATTTCACTTTTTAATTTTGTGAAAAACAGCCAGTTTAAACAAAGAAAAAGCAAGTCTAAGGGATCTGTGTAGACGCGCCGACACACTCACGTTCTCATACTCCAGCGCGAGCAGCTCGGGGCTGGTGAGCATGTCGGGGTAGCCGATCTTCTCGTTCATGGCGTTGGCTTTCTCCCGCGCCACCGCCCGCGTCTCGTCGTCCATCCACTCGTTCTCCTCCAGCAGCTCTGAGAACGCCTCCCTCAGCGTGTGGATCATTTCCAGAGCCGTTGCCTGCTCAATAACACATTTATTCTGCATGTTCGCTTATGCGTACCGTAAGCCCCCTTTAACTCACATACTTATACACAAACATACGTTCGATGCAGCGATATTTGATGACGCGGACTCGGAGCTGCCGACCATTACATAGTGTCGAGCTTGAAGCGTGAGAGGTTAAAACGAACATATTTGTCACAATAAAAACAATTGCCACCGCTTTTGATAGTCAATGTATCCGACAATATTTTTGACGAAGGGCGCACGTGGCAACCTCTCATCGCTGTCATTTCGTGGGTTCAGGTTATCACGCATAAACTCGGGAAGAAAAGTAATGGTTCTTTAACCAAATTGTGCAAAAAATGATGCACATTTTTGCCCGCTGCACAAGCAGCAAGCGGGACTGGCACTCGTGGTGACGTGATCATATGAAGTGCAGGTCTATGCACGAGGCATCAAGTAGTAAGGGCTCCTCAAGCTGGCATTCTACCACCCATGTTGCCGCGGCAGCTCACCTTGCTCTCGTGGTTGAAGTTATCCCTGATGAAGAGCGCCCCGACGGCCATGCCGAGCCTCTTGTTGGTGGACTCGATGCAGAGGCTCCAGCGCTTGCGGCGGCTCTGGACGCCCACCAGCACCGTCTGGAACTCGTGGCTGCGCGACTGGTACTCCTGCGTCAGGTGCGGCGTCACCTTCATCACCATGCGCCACATGGCATAGTTCCACAGCACTCTGTGACCACATGCTTCGCGTCAGGCGCTAAATAAAATGACACATCTGCTTAGCACTTATAAAATAAGCGCCAGAGGAAGAGTGCACAAACTATCGACTTCAAAAATAGGTTATGGAAACTTGTGATACAAGTTTTTAATTGCATAATTTTATTCTAAATAATATGACTCAATATTTCAATCTTATCTCAGTGTTAATTATAAACGATATTATACTATCAGTCGTTGAAAAATTTACTACGATGACTAGAAGAACGAAGAAGATATCAGCAAATCTCGATGTATGTTTTCTCGATGAAACTACAAAAAGCGAATAGCGACAACTTCTCATGACGTGTAGTGATCAACATCAAGCTATGGTATTTTGTTTCTTAACGAAGGCACCTCTTGTCCGTAGATGACATGATGTGGCCGAGCCTCTTGAGGAAAGGCATGGTGTAGACCACGATGGGCTCGGTCTCGCGCAGATCAGACCCAAGGAACGCCCGAAGGTAATCGTCCCACAGGATCCCGGGCACCTCCGTCTTGAGGTCCCTGAGGCTGAGCTGCAGGTAGTTGCTGCCTGTGTCGTGGCGCTCTGACTCGGGTACCGTCGCCTGCACAGCAACAACCTTCTCCTAATTTGCATTTTTTTAATAAATGGTTTAGGGCAAATATTATCCCTGAGTTCATTGGCAAAGGTGTAAATCAGAGTAACATTCATCGGTACCTCCTTTAACTTGTTAACTCGGCAGAAGACAAAAATTCAGCCCGATATTGTTTGTAGTTTCTAAGCTAGTTTCTCATAATTTTACAGAAGAAAAATACCAAACTGTTATATTTATTCAATCAAGCAATGTCTGTGTAGGTTTTCATAGCGGAAATTTAAAATTCAAGGTTAAAATAGTCACATTCTACGGAGACCGAATGCACCAGAACTATAAATGAAATTTAAGTAAAATTTTTCACATTCACTCCGATTTTCTCATTGCGTTCTCGTAGGAGACGCTCACGTTTGCAAGTCTGATCTCGAGTTCGATGACTTGCTCGAACTCGCTTCTCGCGCTCTCTCGGTCCGCCCCCATCAGCTCCGCTACATCCGTCATGAACCTGTGAACACAGCAAGCCTCATTCATGACAATAATAATAATAGCAGTTTCATCGTTTATTAGGCCATAGGCCTGTCGCCGATTCTTAACATCGCAGAATATTCACAGTTTGTTGCGGTCTCGAACTCGCAACTCNAACCACTGAGCCACTCTGCCACCAACCTTGAACTAAAAACAATGATCATAAATGAATACGAATATGAAATTTCTTTTAAATCTTTAATATTCGTAAAATCCGTTGATGGCTGACGTATCTCCTGAAGAATTGCCCACAAGAAGTTAACAGCTGTCACTCAAATGTTCCAATTCTCGGTCTTCATATACGTGTACAAATGATGGTTTCCATTGCAATAGTATTCCTATGAAGTTAGCGCGGACAATATTAAAGATACTGTCTTGCACAGCGCTTTATTTCGAGACTAGCAAATTCCTCCTCGCTCCTATGGATTATTCTAAGGGATGTCGCATGAATTAATTAACACCTAGCAATATTCCTCAGGCATGTCTCAAGGAGCGAGGGCGGCATTCATTTCGTTCCAGGCATTCCTATGATACACTTCAATGTACACGCCTGTACACACAGACTACAATAAACACTTTAATATACACGCAGGTACACATACTTCGTGATATATACAAGTTGGTACACATACACTAACACTCCAAGACCAATGGATCAAAACTGGACAAGCGATGGGAGCAGAGTTCAATTTAGATTTTGAGGCATCCCTGGTAATTTCAGGACAATAAATGAGAAACATGACTCGCTCGTGGTAGGTTGAAGGCGTGGTCAAGATTTTTAAAATGTCTAACTAAGAAGTGCAATAGAAGATAAATCATAGATCAATTATTATCACTTAATGCTCCCCATGTAAATATAATTAACAGATCTCTGAACTACTTTTTTTACCATTGTTTTCACTCCACTTCCCGTCGCGAGTAGTCATTTGCTTAATAATTAACAAATGTACCTGCACGAGATTCTCACGCATCTTTTTTTCGATTTCTCTGCATTCAATAAATACAAAAATCATTTAAATATTCTTTGTATGACCCCGGCCTCAGTGCTACAGCAAACTGCGCAGTTGGCGACCTAGCCTCACGAGGCAACACGTCGAGGAAATGAGTTCAAAACACGGCACGAATTGGAGGGCGATAATGCGAGCAGCAAACCAGCCACTCTTTCGCTGATACGCGATTAGAGGCGCCAATCAAGAAGCAATCTCGTGTTGAGCCCTCATTTGTAGCTGCAATGCCATCAGTCTTGTGGAGCATTCAACGTGACCTGCAGCAACGCTTCCAAGCAACGACATTTTTCATACGCTAAGACCAAAATTATAGCAAAATTTACATACTTGTCCGTGTTTCTAACACAATTTTAGAACTTTATTTGCTCCTACAATGCTGCATAATTTTTTAATCATGTTTTACAAGCTCTCCGCGTGTTAGACCATGTAGCAACATTGTGCAACAACATTGACTTAAAATTGATGCGTATCAATGCACCATTGTAACAGATGTAGTATTTTCGACAGCAAAAATTGACTTAACTTAAGAAGTTTCGACAGCAAAAATTGTCTTAACTTTTATTAGTTAACTTTCTCTTCTTGACTATTCGTGTGCATGAAAAGTTAACAGGAATATTGTTAAATCTGCTTAAGCAAGTAACGTGTTTAACTATGCGAGAGCCTCACAAATAGTAACGCTGCTATATAACATTAAATATTTTATAGCATAAGGTAACAAGTTACCAACTTGATTTTTCGTGCATAACGTGTTAAACTATACGCAAACTACAAGAGTAGTGATATATGAGTGATACAATATAAGATAATGCGTGTTACTAACTTGAGGTAGGCCTGGAGGTAGGGCGGAGGCTCGAGGGACTGGCCGCTGAGGAACATCTCGCGGTCCGGCAGCCCCAGCTCCATTTGGTCTAACTGAGGCAAGACAGATCCTGGCTTAGCTCGTACACGCACCACGCATCTCTTCCTAACTCTGGACCTACTCCCATCAACGAAGTCCAAGTTAATTAGGAATTAGTTTCAGCCACTAATGTGGGAACGCATTATGTGAGTCAGAAACATCTAAGGGGACCGTGGTAGCACACAGGTTCCTGAGTTGGTGGAGTATACAAACGTTATTGATACAGAAGTAAGACTGGACTTACAATTAATTAAGAGACAGAATTGAGACTGGACTTTCAGTTTTAATCCTTAACAGGTTGAGTATGATACGAGTCATACGACCCACCGGTGAATCTGAGGGTTTTTCATTTTTTTCAAATTCCGCGATTTAGTTTTTTTCAATTGCGTGGGCGGGCAATAAGTTCTGACGGTTGTACTCTCTTCTTGTATTTTACAAATTACCATAATAACTAAAATTGAATTTTCGAACCGCAACTTACAAATTTACTATCGGATATTGAATTTCGTGCCTTTTCGGCCTTTTTCTCTGCGTTTTTTAGGCCATCTGGCAACTCTTGTATCGCACTCAACGTGTTATTACATCCACATATGCAGACGCTCATGGTAACTAGATCCGCACCATTAGAATAGACATGAATATCATGTGTAATTTTTTAAACGATACCTAATTTGTCTTTCACGTAGAAGAGCTCAGGCGCAAGAACTTGATCAACAAAATTAAATGAATTAAATTTTTTGTACAATTGGCAGTATTGGCTCTTAAAGTAGTAAAGGATGAATAAACTTCTTTCAAAAATTGTTGGTTTGCCACCATGACTGCCCACGTACGTAAGCAGAAAAGATTGAGATTTGACAGTTTGATTAACTGTTTGAATCCGCAATGTACGTTTCGAATGCATCGCAATCCCTTGTTGACAACCCTGCAAACGTCGGCACCACTTCTCACCGTAATCCCTCACTGGCAACCCTTTCATCAGGTCCGACCCACTGCTCGATGAGGGTGCCCTGGTTGAGGCGGCCTCTGAGCCAGCCAATGAGCGTCTCGATGCTCACGTTAGGCTCCTGCCAGCTGTCCTCTATGACGGGCCACCCGCCCAGCGACCTGATCACCTCCTTCAGCGGCTCGTCGCCCACCACCTCGATCTGACCTGCGTCGGGCAAATAAGTGATCACTCAGAGAAGTGAGTGAAAGTTTGTCCAAATTGCGATGCAGTTTTTGAGCATTGCTTACCCTGATTTGAGTGCTGCGTGCAAGAGGCGTGTCGCTATTGCGATAATATGACAATTGTTTTACTACGAGGCGCATGAGGCGCGGCCGGAAAACACTTAATCATGAAAGAAAACTAGAGGCATATGAGGCCTATGTTCGGAAAATGGAGGCATCTGTAGAAGTACGAGTATTTTGGCAACATAAATAACAAAGAAAAAATCTGAAGAAATACAAGGCATCGCGCAAAAATTGAGCGCGTCATGTTACTGATGAAACACAAATTCATCAATACAATGCACAGATATATAACAAGTCATTGAGTGTAACAGCACAGCAAGCAGAAAAAATTTTCGCTGGACATATAAAAATAGGTTTACATAACATATATTCATCCCTATACGCTAGTATAGGTTCTCCTACATACCGGTGTAAATTGAACCACGGCGCGGTGTTGCAGATGGCGCGCAAACTTGACAAAAGTTGGTTTAAATTTATACTAATGCAAAATATTTTTTTACATTTAAAAGATTTGTCAGTAAAAATTGAAGCAAAACTTTTTACTATTTTACGGTTTTTATCAGGTCCAAAATTGAATCGACAATATGATGATATGATGAGCTTTATGTAACTAAAAAAGCTTCCCAAAGCAACTTGCAGTCATGCGTACTCAAGTGCTATGCATATAAATTTGTTTGCTTTCATCCGCTAATGCAAAGAAGAAACAAAAACGCAATCCCGTCTCAGAGCTCAAAGCGCCTATCGCCAGGAAACAATCATCGCTCTAACTCAGAGCGTCAACATTTTGCTCCAGGAAATTGACGAGAAAATTGACTCTGCGTCTGCATCGAGCGAGGACGGCAGTATCGACCAGCGGTAAACTTTGCAGTCTGCTTAATACTTTACCGTACACACTACGGTGCTCAATACTTCGGTGTCCCAACATAATATGCTTCTATTGTAGCCGAACGCCCCAACATAGTACGCTCCTATTAGCGTCGAACGCTCCAATATAGAACGGTTCAGTTGGGGCAGAACGCCCTGACATAAAACGCTCCTGTTGGAGCCGAACGCCCCAACATAAAACGCTTCTGTTGCAGCCGAACGCCCCAACATAAAACGCTTCTGCTGGAGCCGAACGCCCCAACATAAAACGTTGGAGCCGAACGCTCCAACATAAAACGCTTCTGTTTGAGCCGAACGCCCCAACATAAAACGCTTCTGTTGGAGCCGAACGCCCCAACATAAAACGCTTCTGTTGGAGCCGAACGCCCCAACATAAAACGCTTCTGTTGGAGCCGAACGCCCCTACATAAAACGCTTCTGTTGGAGCCGAACGCTCAAACATAAAACGATTCTGCTGGAGTCGAACGCCCAACATAAAACGCTTCTGTTGGAGCCGAACGCTCCAACATAAAACGCTTCTGTTGAAGCCGAACGCTCCAACATAAAACGCTCCAGTTGGAGCCGAACGTTCCAACATAAAACGATTCTGTTGGAGCCGAACGCTCCAACAGAACGCAAATATAAACCTTTAGAAAGATCGCAACAACGCACGCACTATGTTGCCTACTCTGCACATCGCCATGAACCACTCCTTAAGAAGGTCCATGCTGAAAACAGAAATTCATCGGGTTTGACAACAGCGCAAAAAATCTCGAAAAACTCCACAAAGCAAATTGCATTCTCCTGGACGCGATTATGCAGCGATGGCGCCAGAATTTGATGAGGTGCATCAGTAGGCAGCGGAACTTGATCAGTTTGTGTAGTTGGTTCAATTCTGCACCAAATTCGATTATCCAAAGTGATTGGAATGAATTCAAGAATTGAATGATGTACGAAAGCACTACCCCATCGTACACTTACTGAACCTCAAAGCCAAGAATGAACTTCAGGGAAATTTCTGATCACTAACTTGCCATCATGAAATCTGCGTATTATTTGTTTCCTTAATAATATTTTGCTAACCGCCGTTCTGGCCCATGCCAAGTATATGAACCCAAGACTTCTATAACCGGTAACGAAGATGAACCAAATTTATTTAATGTTTTTAAAGACCAGAATATCTTGCCTACAGCAAATATAAAATTTTTGCGCTCAGAAAATTTCCTAGAAATTTGTCGCGTTGCCTTGTTTCCGAAAATACGAAGATTCTAGACGAAGACCGTCCAATGTCCATTCGGCCAAATATTATGGTGGTCTCGTCCACATGCACTGCAAAGCCAAAACCTAACAGACAAATCCAAATCCATCGCGAACTGCACGAATTCAAACGCCTGAACATGGATGATCGGAATTATTTAATTGGCTTCACATAACCTTCTAAATACGATAGTACTTCAAAAAAAGTCGACGTGTAGATTTTTCACAATTCTGCATTTATTATTGCACAGAATTTCGAGAGTGCTTTTCCTTACTCTGCTTAAATTCTACTACAGAACACAAACCATCGATACCTTCTTTCAAAAACTACTCTCGGTGCTACAATTGTGAATAAACTTTTTGGAAGATTTTTAGATGCTAAGGAACATTTTCCTATCAGAAAAAATAGCAATAATAAACAAGGAAAATGTGTGTCATAGAATAAAAAAGCCCCTAAATCTAACTCCTCGAGATTTCACAACAAAGGCATAAGTGGATGATCTCGAGTGGCGCCTACTTCAAAACAATTACTTTTTTAATTTAAAACGTCAACAGCTCCAATTATGCTTGCCAAATGAAATAAATACACCTTCAAAGGATGGTGCGCTCACATTGAGTTCTGTTCATATCACATACAGTATGTATGTCAGGGACAACTTCTTATAGGAAAGCAACGAGGTGTTATCATGAGCTCAATTATACCAGGCATGTTTTTTAAGTCAGTACCGATTTGAAATTAAAAAAAGACGTGCAAAGATATCGCAATAATTTAATTTTTAAATGAAAGCCTGTACCTTAATCTACTTTTCTACATAATTTCCGTGGATATTGAGGCACTTGTCATAACGTGGCACCAGTTTTTGAATACCTCCTGATAAAATTCTGCCGCCTGACTAGTCAACCACTGCATCACAAATGAAAAATGCAGTGTGATGCATTTGATGCATCAAAAATGAAAAGTGCAGTGTGATGCATTTGATGCATCAAGTGCAGTGTGATGCATTTGATGCATCAAGTGCAGTGTGATGCATCACACTGCATCAAATGCATCACACTGCACTTGAAGAAACACCTGGGCGGTCAGCGTCTTCAAGACGATAACGTCAAAACATTTGTGATGCAGTGGTTAACAAGTCAGGCGGCAGAATTTTTTCAGAAGGGTACTCAAAAACTGGTGCCACGTTATGACAAGTGCCTCAAAATTCACGGAAATTATGTAGAAAAAACGATTAAGGTACAGGCTCTCATGTAAAAATTAAATTATTGCGATATCTTTGCATGTATTTTTTTAATTCCAAACGGTACTGACTTAAAAAATATAACTCAGTACTCACTGCAGTGAGTGACAGAAGCCGCATTTTCTCGTCGACGAAAACATGAAGTCACGGACAGACGGACGGACGGACATGACGAGCACAGTAGCGCCTCTTTTTTCATGAATGAGAAAATGCGCTAAAAATATGCCTCGTAAGTTAGATCAAGTTCCGGAAATTAGAAAAAAGTTCTAAATTATAAATGCGGGCACTCGGTTTAAATGAATGTCTGAACTCTGCAAACACCTAATCATATACTGCAAAGTTCTACCGTGAATAATTCGTTCCCTGTTTTTAGTCTACGCGCATTATTTATAATCAAATATTCGTGAATCTATGAGGGTCAAAAATCGTTAATTTTACGTGAGCTCATGTTTAATAATCCAGTTGAATCTTCTTCTGCAAGATCTACCCGACCTCAGCTCGCAATCCCAGCGTTCGCAACAAGTTAAACTCTTCTGCTCGATCTGACTCCAAAAGATCTCAATATAATGGCCCAGTGGTTACAGTTCAGAGTACCAGGATTGGAGCAGAGAGGCGCGGGTTCGATCCCAGGCTCTGTGCGCCAGTTTCTGGTCAGAATCTGCGAGGAAGCCGGGCGGTTAAGCGAAGCAGAATTGTTGCAGTGAATTGCGTGTTCGAGACTGCAATAAGCTGTGAATGTTCTGCGATGTTGAGAATCGGCGACAGGCTCACGGCCTAATACACTGAAACCGCTATTCTATTCTAATAATTAGTCAGTCGCCAAGGATACAAACTTATTTACACTAATTATTTCCTTTCTTTCACTCAGATATTCAAGCTCCCCAAAAGTTGACCATTGAATTAATTATCATCGCGTTCAATGAAAATCTATTTCGATTCGAAACAGAGCTACTGACGGTAAAATAGCCACAAAAAAACGCGTTGCGCTCGAAAATTTAGGGCTCACAAATAATTATTGGACTACCAAAATACCAAATTTGAATTAGACTATACAAATCCAAACAAATTAACTCTTACATCTACAGCAGTAAGCGGAAAAATAATCGATCTTCCACTACTTCGCATAAAAGATGTACGTTTTTTAGTATGCAGTTACAGATACAAAACATATCAAGACGAACAACTACAAGTTGCACTTACTGGTGTTCATGCAAGAAGTGAAAAATTTCTTGGCCTTCAAGGTGGCTTCACCTTCGTCAGGAGCCATGGGTTCCAGAAGCAGATCTGCAAAACATCAAAGTCAAGTGATGTCTCAATTTAAATAGATTTGTATTTATAAATAATTTAGCAGCGCAAAGATAATACTTAATCGAGTCAAGCGGTTATAACTTGCCTTTATCTACTCGAACCTTCTTCCAGCTCCAGCAATCAATAAATAACTTTATTGTAATGAAGTTGCGAAGAAAAATACAACTGAATCGGCACGACTTACCAGTTTTTTCGTCCGTATGCGATAAACTGATCTAAAACCGAGAAATGTTTCCAAGTCGCGAGCGAAACTTGCGAGCTTTATGGATATAAAGTTACAATTTTTGAAGTGAGTAAGAAAGTTAGTGAGAGCGTGAGGTCCGAAAGTTGTATTTCCAACAACGAAATTAAGAATGAAAGTTAGTTGATACTTTAGGAGATGGTCGGGATTTCCAATTGTGTCGGTATGACTAAAGGTGCCTTCTTCGAAATGAAAATCGAAAAAAATACGTCGATACCGATAACTTTCACAGACTAATAATAACATGAAGGAGCGTGCTGGCACATCAGAACTTGGGGCAATTAATGTGAAAAGAGCAAATCAAGTCAACATATAACACAATCGAGTCTCTTCAACGGTTCTCGCTCTACAGTCAGTCACAAGCGAGGACCGTTGTTAGTTATTGCAACACTTATCTTTAACTTCACTTCTTGTTGTTTGTTTGTCTGCTACAAATCTTACAATCGATAGTTAACACACTTCTACCTCTGCAATCGATCAGAAATTTTGCACACTTGCGTAAAGTCGGAGACAATGCTTGAATCAATTGACAGAATAAATAGTTAAAAAATGTGTATTTAAAAAAATAAATATTTTTTTTAGAATATTTAAAACTAAAATAAGAAATTCATTGTACATGTGTAATATCGGAGATAATTTCATTGTACATGTGTGATATCGGAGATAATTTCATTGTACATGTGTAATATCGGAGATACTGGCCTTTTTAGAAGTGTTGCCTTTAAAAAGTAATTTTTAAACGCATATTACTTTATTTTATCCTGACATGTAACCATGCAAATAGCATGCAAAGACAGCGCTTTAGTATCAAGCTAGTCTTTATGGGCACATGCAATCCGTTATAGCCCTGCCACAGATGTTTGACGCCGGCACGCAATTCTCCACTCAAGCCACGACGCTTGGTGACCGCGTCATTTCCTTCACTACTCAAGCTGACTTAACGTGGGCCATCACACAGTGCACTATTCGTGCCCACTATTCCTTATGCTATCACGCAGTTCTCTGTTCGAGACAATTATTTGTAGTGCCATCACGCAATTCACTGCTCAGGCCCATTCTTCGTGATACCATCACGCAGTTCACTGTTCGAGCCTATCATTCATGATGCCATTGCTCAATTCACTGCTCAGGCCCATACTCTGGTAAGTCTAGCATGAAGCTCAATTAGCACATATCATAGCATAATGTCATGACCCTGCCCTCATCACTGCTACGGAGCACGGCGTTCCACTTACACTGACCTGTAAGATTGAGATCGGGCTTGCAGTAGATGACCTGACCAACCATGCGGTCCCATTCTAGGTCTCTAGCCACTATATGGATGATCTCGAGCAGGCCGTTCATAACCTCAGGTAATGAGGCTGGAGCTCTACACTCAATCTTGAGCATGTGATCCAGCTGCCCGTTCGCACTCTGTAGTAAAGCCCTTACTCACAGGTTGCAGATAAATAAAAGCTGATCGTTCGTGACCTGAAATAAAATTGCTGGAGCCCATAGTGTTATCAGCCGACTCACCTCTGAGGATGAGGTCGAGCTGATCGTTCATGACCTCGAAGGTGGATATGGAGGAGCGGTCCTCAGGAATGATGTGTTTTTTGTTCCACGCGCCGCACGCGAACTGGAAGAAGTCGTCGCAAGGGTCGGCCGTCTGGTCCATGGCCGCCAGCAGCGACGACGCTGTAACAACCACGGGCAGGTTATGCGAGCTTCTCGTCACCAAAGACAGGTCTAATAATAATAATAACATTATTATTAATAATTACCTTTGTGTAAACAAATGACCATATTTCTTCTGGAATATACGTTTGCTATCAGATTGTAATACTTATTATTATACCGAGAATTTAAAAGGTAATAAAAGAAGCATTCCGTTCGCGGAGACAAGAAAGTTCTTTTGTTGATACGAGTATTTTTAATCCTGCAACGGTTGCTAGCAATTCAGAATAAGATCGCAAGCAAGATCTGATATCAAACCCAGCTATTGCGCACTTTTAGCTCAGATTGAGCAATATCGCACGACCGATCGACTTTGCATACATCATTGCCACTCTGCTCCAGCAAAACAAGCGCTGCCTCAACCATTCTTGTCGTAGCCGGACTGCGTGAGGTTGCGCGAGCAAATGGAAGATGTCAAAGCTACCAAGGAACGGTCTTACCAATATCAAGTCATAGATCGAATTTGTAACATACGTTCAGTTATTTCATGTGTTACATGTCGTCAGCGTTTAACTAATTGAAATTGAAGTTCATTTAACTTAAGTATATTTTTCATTTCAACTCGCTCCTTCGCACTTCATATCTAAGTAATACTATTTGTCAAGTGTAATTGAATTGCTACTTATACATTTCTCTGCAAATGCTATGCGTAGAAAGAGGAAGGAAGCTCCGCGAACTGGCAGCGAATCACTTCTCCAATAACCGATAGCACAGGAACACGAGATCGCACTTCACGCGCTACTGTGCTCGCTGATAGTCCTTTTCATGGCCTCCCTCGGAGTAGAGCCTTCGCGTCCAGCCGGAGGGCGTAGTGCAGACGAGTTATTCGGTACAAACGGAGCTGTGAAGTGTGCATGGATGTGCTGGCTACATGCTGTGATGTGGTTAAGCATCACGGTCTTCTATTGGCATGTTAAAATGCTCGCAAAATTCCCTGGTCGCATTGTACAGGTGGTGGTGATGTTGAAACCATCTTTCTATCGCAGTCTATTTATATTTATACATATTGAAAACACAGCATTCTACTACAGAAAATGTTATACACATTCAGGACAATTATTTTTAAAGAAGTTCGTTAAAAAAATTTAAATTTTGACGAGAAAGCTTCTAACTATAAAAAATTAAAGTGGAGAAAAGATAAATTAACTAGTTTTTTACAAGTATTCTTAAATAACGGAGCCTATATGTACAAAAACACGCATCAAAAACAAGCACTTCGTCTTGTTAGCCAATTGGAAGTAGGCCTGCCACTCGCGTTCATAAATTACAATTTGGTTTTCGTAAACGACCGTGGATACGCTCCCAATTTCACCTCATATTTCAGCCGTCATACAGCATTTCAGCCGTCACCGGCATCGGCACACCCGGCTACAACAGATCCCAGCACGCAGCGCCGTATTGACGTACGACTTGAGCGGCTTCCGCTGCATGTCACCTGCCACGCTAGAGCGCCCTTGTTCCATGTACACATTGCAATGATGGAACTAAATGAGATGTAATAGAATAGAATAGAAGTGTCGGCATTGAAGAAATATGCCCATGGCCTGTTTCATTGTATTTTTATGAGTGCATTTACAAAATCTACACTCTAGCCTTAATGCATCGGTTCCAATAGATTTACAATACCATGAGACGTAGGGGCAATGAGATGTACAGTCACAACACGATGTAGATGAAATGAAATTTTGCTACAACGACATGTAAATGTGTAAATACAATGAGATGTTAGGAATACATACGAGTGAAAAGATTTCGATTTATGGACAAAATCGTTGACTAGTTTTATAAACTCTTTGAAGTCTTGCATTTCACAGTAAATTTGAGGAATATCTTCAACCTGATTGTAAGGATTTAGTCATTTATACTACAAAATAGCGGTTATCCCGTCATTACGGATGTAAGTTTATTGCGGACCGGAACTTACTAGGGACGAGTTATTTTAGATATTAGGGTTGTTGACTTTACGATCTCATCCTCGGCAGAAGTCTCCTTCTGATTTCGATATAATCTGCACATCTTTTACACTTGTATTGTTCTTAGCTTGTAAATAAGAGCAGCACGCATTTCGGTCAAGTATTCGTTTGAAAATACGTGACGTAATTTTAGAGCAAGTTTCTTTTTTAAATTACGCCGCAACTGCGCTGTGGCCGCCGTTTAGTACATTTGCGTCGTGTCGCAGCATCTGTTGGAAAGCCACGGACGCCAGGACTTAACCATCAGATTGAGTCTAAATCTGTTTACGTGATTGTAAACAGATATTGTGAATACTACCGACTGCGAAGTGCGCGCGCGTTTCTGCAGTGAGCTCATGGCTTCAAATCAGTTGCCATTCATCGCCAAATCTGTGAAGTGTACGGTGAAAACATGAATAATGAAATGGTGCGGAAATTGGTTAGGGCCTTTAAAGATGGCAGCACTATCATTCTTGAAAAGTAACCAACTTCATTCATTACCGATGCTTTGATTCAAAACTCAGATGTCAAGCGAAAGAGAACAAACTATTAACGATGTCGTCCTTAGTTGAAAAGTTTCCTGATGTCTCACAAGTGTTCTTAATGAAATTGTCCCATCAGGCGGCTAGCTTTGACGATGGCTTACAAAAGCTGGCCCAATGATACGATACATGCCTCAATATTAATGCGAATTACGCATAAAAAGAAGAGTAAAGCATGGTCTTTCAAATGAATACATTAATCATGGAAAAAATATACTTTTTTTATGCAGAAACGGCACTTTACAAAACACGCTTCGTATAGGTCTTATTCTTGGCCGTAGTCATGGGCTTATTCTTTTTCACGGCCACCTAAGTCCTGTTGCTAGCCTCCTCGAAGACGGACACTCTAAAATGTTGGCTATCCCTAAAGATAATGCACGAAGATCAGAACTAAGTTCATTCACTTTATCCGGGAATTTTTTCTTGAAACGATAGGGATGCCGTGTTTCCTCAACTTTAAATACTCAACAGCGGTCACAAAGAAAGGTCGATGGTCGGCCACAACTTTAACAAGAGGCTCCTGCTCAGAGCAAGTTATCTTTCCAAGCGAAACATTGATAGGTCCACAAATATCACCGCATCTCCACTGGGGACACTTAACTGCATCATTCCTGCGGGCAGCAGAGAGGCGTCCGATTGCTCGAGATACTCTGAGGTGAAGGGTCGCCAAGGGACTCAGGGAGGAAATATGCTTTTCAACAAACCGGTCCACGTCGCACTTAGCTTTGATTTCATGGATATTGTGCTCTCAAATTTGTTTAGCATTTTGACATTAATTTATTATTTAGCATCCTTGACTAAAATTCACTTATCACTATTTATGTACTAACAGCGACCCCGTTTGAAGGCTTCACAAGTCTACCCGCTTTACTCTTCTCTGGACTGAAGTTCAAAGAACGACAGCATCTTGTTTACTTTTTTCCAGTCTTCACGCATTGAACCGCTACAAACACCAACGTATGCATCGGAACAGGTGGAGCTGGTATCTTTATCATACAGAGTCACTGGCCATCTCGGGAACAATGGGGAATCAGTGGAAGAGTCTTCAACTAGAGGCAAAGTGTAAAAAAAAAATATTGTGCATTTGAAAAAGTGCACTTTATTCAAACATTTTGTTTGATTATATAATATGAATAATTTGTCGACAATATCGTAATGGATATGATTACAGTGCGTGAAAAATAATGCTTAATTCTTAACACCATTCACACACACAGTAAAACCGCACACAGGAAGATTTAATAGAACTAACGGTTAATTGATGCAAATCCTGCAGCTGCGGTGACTGAAATTTGAAAATCAGCAGAGTATGGCTTCTTCGGATCCTCATCAAAGGAGGAAATTGACACTGGGAATTTTTCAAAAGCTGTCAATGAGTGAATGAATGACGACTTTGGCTGAACCAACTTCCTATACCTAAACTTCCGACCTGAACACGACATCCTGAATACGGCCTTAAATGGAATAAACAAAGAGGAACCATTGAATTTTTAAGCAACAAATTAAAAGTATTAATTGAGGGGACAATTTTTCGGCAAATGAATTCCAGCTGCTTGCTGATCTTTTCGGAGAAAATTTAATATTTTTATGATGAGTTTTTAAGGGCCCTAGCCCGGCTGTTATCTAATCCACGAGCTGAACGTTTAAATGATCTAAAAGGAATCATTTACAGAATAAAGTTTTTGGCTATATTTTCTTCATTAGTAAAGTAAAATGTGAGCAATAGTATAATAAAAACTGCTAACTCAATGCTACAACTCAAAAAGTTGCGAAATTTGTTGGGTCAAATGAATAATTGAATGACAGCATGAGTAAGAGGATGGACAATAGAAGACTCACCTGTGTTGACGCACTCAGCCGTTAGACATACTCTTCCTCTATCTGAAACAAAAGAACATAGAGCTATATTAGTTAGTGATATTTTAGACATACTCTTTCTCTATCTGAAACAAAAGAACGTAGAGCTATATTAGTTCTACAGAAATAGTCTACGTCTAGCTGTGGGAAAAGAATGTATAGCAATATTAGTTAGTGATACTTCAAATTTGTGTGTTCGAAAATGAAATAAACGTCCAATTTGTCACGGCAAATTTTGTTCCCTCAATTACAAGGAGAAAATAGCATAAACTAAAATCCTGGAGAGAAATTGCATTCAGGCAAACAATGGTAATGCTCGGGCACAGGCGGCAACTCGTGAGACAAAATCTGCCATGAATAAGAATTTTACAGTGCGCCCTGTAATTCATTAATACGTCTGCTGTATGAAGTAACTTGAGGTCTTTGTTTCAAATAAACCCCAGCGGCGCCCTGTACTTCATTAATACGTCTGCTTTATGAAGTAACTTGAGGTCTTTGTTTGAAATAAACCCCAGCGGCTACGAGACTCGAATGAAAAGAACTTCTCGCGTGGCTGCACTCGAGACCGCGCGAGCGGAATAAGGAATCAGGAGCAGTGAATTCAGGGCTGAAGAAGAGGAAAGGGAAATTGTGAAGGAAAAGAGAGAGGTAAAAGTAATCAAAAATTGAGATATAGCAAAGAAAGAAAAGGCAAGTGCAGCATAGAACCACGGAAAATATTTAGGAAATGTAAGATAGTTAACAAAAAAAATAGAAAATAGAGTAAAAAATGACAAGGCAACAGAGAAAAAGTTATTTAAAACAGCCTACTATATTTAAAATTCAGAGCGCTTAATGATTGCAAGAATTTGAGTAGTAATATTAAGGAGACTTTTTTTAATTTCGGCTCTAGACATATTCAATCACGGTATCTCCAAATCAAATCATTTATTTGGGCCATTGACTGGCCAGTAATTAACTTGTCAAATTTCCACTGGCAACATCGGTTCGGCAATAGAATATCGATACTGACTATTAACTAGGAAGATTTTCATTATTAGCTACCAATTATTTCTACAAATTGAATATGCGCTTGCATAATCATCTTCCATTGAGCACACTAGTTTATTGCAATAAAGAACTGAAGCCATAACATAAAATTTTAAAGACTGAAATTAAATTAAGATATCAGACGAATCAGCTGCTGATGTTAGATAAATTAATCCTAATCGTTTTTGGTGGGAAATTCAAGTCATATATAATAAATGACTTTAAGTTAAAAGGCAAGGCCAAATCTCAAAAGATTATCTGTTCGGGTTGTCTTTTTACTGTGTTTTACTTCAAATCAAATAAATCGATTCCAGTTAATTTTACAGTAACGTCGATTTGTTGTCATAGCGTTCGTTCGTTATTGCGTATAAGAGTAAAAAAAATTTTTCTCCACATCAAGCGATTGAAGCCGTCGCCGCATGTGCCGGCGACAGCCTGTAGCATTTAAACGTCCGTCGGCGGCATCATCATATGGTGGGAGTCACGCTACTTTATTGGAAATAATATTTAGCTTTCCATTAAATTTTTAGACAGGAAACTGTTTATGATATATAAGTGCCACATGAAAATTATCGCTTTTATTATTCAAAACTATTCAACATCTGAAACATCTCAGATATCATTATTTATGCGTCGCGTAATAACATCCCAGGGCCGATAACGCAGCAAGGACATTATCATCTGATATCAATTAATTTAGAGTGAGCAGGAGTAACACAGGGAAACGCGTGGTAAGCATTGGGTCGCCTGCCGAAGACCACCACTGCCCTGGATGATATGGACCATCATTGTATGCATTATAGGGAGAGCAAATGTCCCGGTGGCTGCGAGGCGCTCAAGCCTAGAATTAAATTACTTTCAGTTGCCCCATTGTCTTACAAAAGTGTCCTCATAATTTTCCAAAATAATACTTGGTAAAAACGATACAATATAAAAACACCATCCAGAATTGAGTTAGTAGTAAAGATGTGATGTTGCAGTATTAATGCAATTAACACTCTTGTCTTGTCTAATGAGAGTTTCGAATAAATTCTTCACTTGCATAAATTTCAAACGTAATGTAAGATAAATAATAAATTACAAGCCTAATATAAGACAAATTGCAAGCCTAATATAAGATAAATTACATGCCTTATTAAAAATGCATGCAGCCCATTATCGACCACAACATCTGCGCAACCGCACATGTCAGCAAATTCCAAGGAAAGAAGTTCATGAACTTCAAAAAGGAGTTAATTTCAGAACGTAGAACGTGACGTTGCTTGATCACGTCGCGTGCGATTTTTGCTGATGCAGAATAATTTGAACGAGTTTACGCACTTAGTCCACATTTTCTTTGAGAACTTTTAAAATGTGTATTAATATAATTTCCATTAAGGCGGCAATAAACCTTCAACCACTCCGAACATGTAACTATACTCGAGAAGATGTTCAAATTTAGCAATGCTAATAACCTGAATAAATCGATAAGGTAGTAGTTTAATCATGCTTATATATAATTTGCTCCTCTTTGCAATGAATAATTGCTAGATGAAAAGTTTTTTCTTGCCGCCTTCATTTTTTGTTCAATCACAATATTATAATGACGAATAATCGTTTAGTCGTTCTTCCCGGTATTGTGTGTGTCCCGGTATTGTGAGTGTCCCGGTATTGTGAGTGTCCCGGTATTGTGTGTGTCCCGGTATTGTGTGTGTCCCGGTATTACTTCGTCGCGTTTTCAACGAGCCTTGTGTTGCAGCATATCTCATCGCACCAGATATACGAGTGCCGTCAAGCTGTCAACCAAATAGCAGGCATTCAATAGCAGGCCAGTAGAAATTACTAGAACAGAATACTTGTATTTTTAACCGTGATTCCATATGAAACCAAACATGGTGCAAACTTTCAAATTTGAAAATCACAGAAGAAAGTGTTACAAGTAGATTATTACGGCTCAAATTGAATGTATGAGAAAGCAAAGAAATGTAAATATTCGATCTAAATTTCACATATAGCAGTTGTGATCAGTAGTGTGAGTTAAATTAAACGACCTTTTAGACAGTATTACACAATTTTATCCAATTCAAACATTTAATTTTTATTTGCAAAATGAATGACTTTTAAATATATACGTACATGTAAATCCAGTGATTCTACAAATCACACGTTGATATCAAAATTGATCTATCCATTGAATTTCTCCAAGCGATTGCATCCTACTTTTCTTCGTATCTACGATGCCAGCAGAAAAAAAAAACAGAATTTGTTCAGCTCCGTATTTAAAACCTGTACGAATAGCATTCACATACACATCATCTGCCACGTCGCGCATCAAATTTCGCCACGCATATATTGATTATGTCATTTGATAAATTAGCGGTATTAATAAAATTTTCTACAGAAAACCGCATTCATTTTTTCTTTTTTTTTTCAACGTGTGCACTCCAACGTAAACAAATATCAAAAAGTCCCTTTCAAAAAACAAAGTTGACAGGACCTCGAGGATGATTTATCCAGGAGAAGAATAACCTAATTAATTAGGGAGGAGAACTGTGTATTGTGGCCCAGCTGCGCCCGCATTGCAATGCCAGGCGCGTGCAATAAAGATTCAGCCGACGCCCAGTGGCGGGAATTAGGATAAATTCCGGGCCAGAATTTCGGTCGTACAAATGGGAAATTTTCGGGCGGCAGCCTCGTTCTGTCTATATAATTAGCTAATTTCAAGCTTAATATACACGAGAAAACCTTAGCTTTAAAAAGAGAATTAACCAATTTGTAGACAAAAAATAAACTGATCCGCGTCGATTCCAAAACAGAGAAATCTAAAACATTTCCGTCCGTTGGAAAAGTTTGCGACAATCTGTGGTTCTATTTCATGTACACCGAACGGGCTACGCAAAGTGGTGCCTGCTAAAATGCGTAACACATTGCTTCATGAACTGGGAATAAGATAATTCATAGGAAAAGAACCATTTATGAATTGGTCGCAAGTTAAAGTCAACGCACAGGAAATTTACCGGAGCGTTGTGTCCAAACGAGGACCCAAATAAAATAAGGCGTAAAACACGATCATAAAAATCCTAACAACACCGCGAAAATTCATAGAAAGTTTTAAATAATTTCCAGGACTCGCGACATCCTTGTCGAAAATAGCCACCGGAGATTGCTCAGCGACCCGTCAAACGAAGGCAAAGCAGCGCACGGAATCGATCTTGCTGGCCTGCATTCGACAGCGCGCCATGCGCTTTCAACTGCAGCGTTGGTGCGAGAACTTTATCACGTCACTCGTAGAGCAACATGGCGGAGACGAATTCAAGTGAAGAAAATTACAAATATTATACAAAATATTCAAGTTTAACTGAAAGAAATATTAAGCGCACATTGCAATATTAGAACGATGAAGGGTTAATATAGGTAGTTAACGGTAGGGTAATTATTTTGAAGAAGCGATGCGGTTGATCGAGAAAATTTCAAATATTGAGACGGTTAGAATAAAGTCAGCACTTTTATCTGGCCACAATAAAGCACGAAAACTAAATTATTTCTGATTCAATTAAACATAACATAGATTATTCACAAAAAAATTTATTCACAACAATATTTTGCATCACAGAACTATAAGAGGCAGCTGCAGAGCTATCCCAACTTAAGAACCCGAATAAGCGTTCCAGACGTAGCCAGTCCCAGGCCGCGGCCTCATTGCACTTCACTAACGTTGCAGAGAGTTTGCCAGCAATTACACAGCTTACCGACGTGTGCGATGCGTGTAAATGCATCGCAACTAGTGCTATATGGTATAAAATGAAGTTTTAGTTCACGTCTGTTTTTATTGGTAGTTGCGCATGAACAAATTTCAAGCGACAATTGAACGATAATTAACGGAAAATCATGAGATATTAGGATCAAGTAATATTCTGTGTGTACATAAAATACTAACTAACAAATATTGCAGTGAACAATGGTTCAGTATCATCAGCGTGTCCGTAAAGCAGCGTCGCGTAAGAGGTTAATGAAAA